GTTCACCCTACAAAATCATATTAAAAATCTATTAAACGTTGTTTATTTGAAGAGATTATTTCAGTTTTTTTAAATTTCAATCCAATGTTTTCAAAGTTTCCAGTTAGATTTTTGTTATGACAGAAACAGCTGATTTGGGTCTATTTGTGAGAAATTGATGGAAACTTTCAATGGGAAAGCAGGCGGGGGTATTTTGAGGGGAGTAGCACAGACTAACAGCAGGGGGTGGAGGAGATCAGACACCGATGTGATCATTCAATAGCTTTCTGATCAATTTTTTTTTCTTTTCCCGTGATCTCCTTTACTCATTATGCCTTCCTACGGAACTTTTGCTATTTTTTTAGCTTCTAGCTGGCAAGGTAGCTGTTTTGTAAGCAAAAATAAACTTTAATGAGCTCCATCTTCCCCCAAAAAGTACACAAATCTATGTGCGATACCGTAAGATATAACAAACTCTTTAATAAGAAAGCTTTGTTTAAAAAAACTCTGTTTAAGAAAGCTTTGCTTAAGAAAGCTCTGTTTTCCAAGTCATTCACAACTGAAAATGCTGTTAAATGAATACAAAAACCTTTTCCGCTATTTCAATATCTCACTATAGCATTAGTTTTTGACATCAAAATCACTATTTCACGTTGTTTTTTTCATATGAATGAATAAATAAAGAGCAATGATATGTGAGTACTTTCCACCTTGTCCATCTCCCCCATCTCTCTTTTTCACCTTTTCTTCCTCAAGGGGCGGTTCAACACAACACATTGAGTCCAATTCTTTCTTTTCTTTACCCATTTCATTTTATTGCACTCTTCACTTTTCGCAATCATTTTCCATCTTTTTAACAAAATTTTGTAGTGCTGAGTCTCTTTTCAAAGACTGCTTTAATTTGCTCAGTTTGTTTTTCTCTTAACCTCATTCGATTTCAGTTTAAAAATGGGAAATACAAAGAGCACCGATTTAAATGAAGAAAAGATACAGGTTTTACTTTACAAGAATTCTCTCTTTGAAGAAAATATTTTTCAGAAGCCACGTATTGGATCATTGCCCGATGATAAAAAAGGAGATCGAAATGGCACTCAAAAAAGAAGTGCACAGAGTGCTCGGTAAACGATTTTCATTCTCCATAAGTCCACATCTTGTGCTCATTAAAAAACAATGTCTAGCAAGATCACTGTTAAATGTAAAAGTATTTTTTTAGCGCCTCAATGTCAAGTCAAGGGAATCGAAAGCCGGTGTTGAATGCGACACAGAGAACAATCATCAAATATTGTCTCGATAATGCAAAAGACGATATTGGAGGTTTGTGAAAGAAAGGATTGATGTAAAAGATGATGTAAGTCAAATGAATTTTTATATTTTTTTTAGAAAGAATTCTTCGACGAGCAGTCGAAAAGAAAGACGAATTTCGAAGTTTTATCGACAATCTACCAAGGGTTTGTCTTGTTTTTATTGGGTTGGTGAATTGAAAACTACCGGCTATGTGGCAGTTTGAGCACTTTCTTCAAAAGAAACCCATTTTGGTGTCAATGGAAAAAAGACCGAAAAATTCTTTTTGGCGGGGTCCTTTTATTGCGTCGGGTTACGGTTGTTTCCGACGTTTGGCACGGAAATGTCTGAAAGGCAAAGTGTACGGTGGACGGTCCGAAAGACATCTGTCATCAGAATTTTATCTGCATCTGTCATCAAGTTGAACATTTCATTTAAATCTCGCTTTTTTTTGCGAAAGAGATTGTATTATTTTGGGGTTGAAAGTACGAGAAGGAAAGGTGATTGGGTGGAAGGACAGCCGTGTCCATTTCCCCTTTCACCGATCAGTGAAAGAAATCAACCGAAATCACAAAAAAAGGACACAAATGTTTTCCCCGCAATAAGAAAAGGACATTAACCGGAAATCCTCTGTTTCCATTGAAAATTCCCCTTAAAATGTTCACCCTTAGAGGTAAAAAGTGAAAAAACGGCAATAATTATTTAGGATCAGCGCTATCAAGTGGCCGAAAGTTTGAAGCGATTCCTCAGAGAGATTTGTGACAATCTTATGGATTCGGAAAACATTGAAAGAGTTTGTTTTCAAGTTTTCGAATGCTGATCAATATTTAAATCAAAAAAAAAGAAGAAAAGACAAAGAGTCATTCAAAAATTCGACAATAGAATCGAAATTTAGAAAGCTGCCGATTTCGGAGCGACTCATGTGCAATTTCGAGCTGTTGGCTTTAAACCTGATTACTTTGTATGCACAGGTTAGATTATTGGAAGCTACTCTATCAAAAGAAAGGATTGATTTTTTTTTTCATTTTCTAAACGAATCTACCTTTACTAGCACTCTTTGTTAGCAATTTTTATCAATTCAGCTGATGCAGTGACCACTGAATGCACTTTTCTTGATGCAGCTACTCATGGAGCTAGTGACACGGCTTCAGCATGGTAATTCAATAGCATCTTTTTTTTACAAATAAAGTGACGTAAATTAGAAATGTGCATTTTCCGTCTGTTTGTCAATAGGTGTACAATGGAATTCACGTCTTAAACCCTTTAAAATCGACCTTTTCAAACATTTTTTTACCGTTGAATCGAATTTTAAAAGCTTTAGTGAAAAAAAAGGTTTGATGAAGTGATTTTCCGCTGTACACCTATGAACAAACGGACCAAAAATTTCTTTCCTTGTTACCTTTGAATTTCCAGGTCTCAATTAACATCTTTTGTCTTCTCGGCGGTTCGCGATGGTTATTATCAAAAGCTTCGAGAGCAGAGAAAGGTTTTATATCTTTTTTTCATAAACCTCTACAACGTAAAAATATTTAGATCGAATTCGTAGCTAAACCTAGTAAATTTAAAAGTATCTCTGCTCATTTAAGTTCCCATTTCTCTAACATGACATTGCAAATCCGCGCGAAAACGGAGTTCTCTAACGAAAAATTTCTCTTAAAAGCTTAATCGATTCAGAAAAATGTGGAGAATCTGAATATTGACATGATTTTTAAATCCGTCTTGTAGATTTTTCAGAATAGAAAAAGTGGATCATTTTACTATGGAGACAAAACTTTGAGGTGCCTCTTTTTTTATCTTTTTGTCTTTTTCTTTTTGATAAGATTGATTCTTCGAAAAAGTTTTTATAAACTTTTATAAAGATCATTGATCTTTATAGTGGAACATTGATGGTCTTTATAAAAGTTTATAAAAACTTTTTCGAAGAATCAATCTTATGCAAGAATCAAAGAAAAAGACAAAAAGATAAAAAAGAGGCACCTCAAAGTTTTGTCTCCATAGTAAAATGATCCACTTTTTCTAAGCTAAGCATTTCTATACCAAAAACATTGAATTTCATGGAATTTCAATAAACTAGTAGCATTCTGAAATTTACATTTAGCACATAAAGCTTTTAAAACGCAATTTTTCATTAGAGAACACGTTTCTTTTTACCTAATTTCGCGCGGTTGTGCATTGCTTTACGTCAACTTGCTTAACATTAAGCCTTAGCTAATCAAAAATGCGTCAAACATAACGTCAAACATTTACATCTGTGTGGGCTTTGAAATGAAAAAGAAAAATGGTAGATAAAAGAATGAATTTAGGCTTCGAATGCCTTCAGAAACAACCGACAATCGTTTGATGTATCGACAGATGGATCAACAAATAATGAAGATAGTCGGAGGTGAGATAGTTCATTAAAAATCAATTCAGTAATTCATTTACAAAAACAGATCTGCCAGCCCAAATGATACTACGTCTGCTCTCACAAATGCCGGTGATTTCCCCTTCAATCATTTCTTTAAACATTTGTTTTTTTTCTAGGTAATGTCGCTCAACACGGTGTTGAGACTGGTCAATCCGAGCCACCATCAAATTTCCTTTCTCCACCCACTGTTTACTAAAAATTTTTCATTTTCGATACTATTCTTTTAAAGGAGACTCCGAATTAGGGTCGATTCTTACTAAAACTAAAATTTTAGACCAATTTTCCCCTTTAATTTTGCTATATTTTTTGCTATAAATCCTCTAAACATAAACTAGCTAAAATACTCAAGGCTGAAGCTGATCTGAATGTCAGATAAAATCGATAACATTGATGATAAACAATTAATAAATCGATTAGTCATTCCTACATTAATAAAGAAACTGATAGCAATTTGAAATTTAAAATTAGCATTACTACAATCGCTTTACTTACTACAATCATTACTACAAAGCATTACTACAATCGGTGAAAATCGCTCCTAATTCAGACTCCTCATTTAAAGCTGCAAACCAAAAAGTCTTTTTTTTTTCTTTTTTTCTTTTTCTTCTCTTTCCTTTGCTTTTCATTGCTTTTACGGATTCTTTTGTGAATTCTTGCCAGCAGAGATTTCTATCGATCTCTTATTTTTGAGTGTTTCTTCTTTCTTTTTTGCAAATAATCGATTTCGGGAATGTTTCTCTCGATTTATGAGGCAATGGGGTGTGTTCTAATGAAAATAGCTCTTCAAGTATGCACACATTTCGGGTATGCTTACACACAAATGTTTCCAATTTTTGTTTTCTTGTGCTTATTTTATTCTCTTAATGTTTTTTTTTTTTTGTATTTGTAGAAATAAGGTGAATGTTCAAATGTTTTTTTATGGTTTGCAAAATGGAAAAGCTAAATATTTGAACGATCTCCTGGCTTTTGGTTGAATTGAATTGAATTGTATTGCTAATTGTTGAATTGTAAATTGAATATTGTATTTGCTAAAATAATAAATCAAATAATTTCTTTTTGCTCAATGAATGCACAAATTTGTAAATCGATTCAAAATTGACTTTAGAAAAAGGTGAAAATTAGAAAATTTGAAATATTTAAAAATGTTTGAAGATAGATAGATTTAAAGAAAAAAAAACTAGTGATATGTGAAAAAAAGCACAGATCTTTGTTCAGTTAAATGTTGGAAATACTTTTAAAATATCAAATCAAAGCTTTAAGGCTTTTTGAGTAAAGGCACATGAGGCACATTTTGCGTTTAACACTCAGTACAATTAAACACTCAGCACAATTAAAAGTGCTGTGCGCCTTGATTTCCGTGAACAAGAGCGATCAATCCATCTTTGTACGATCCAGAACAATCGCCCTTGATCATGTTCTCCAAAGGAGTCTAAAGACATTCAAATCTTCCTTCTGCTCATTAATTAAGATTTTACAAATTGAATCAATTTAATTAATATGCTTACTTTGTACAGACGCTGGAACTCGTTGCGCACATCGCCCAAATCGATCTCGGAACGAGTAACAACGAGACGAATCAAATCATTATCACGTGTGCCCAAACCCTGAAAGCTTTTCTTTTTTTTTCACTCTTTTTTTATTTACCTTCATACTATCATGCAAAAGTTTGGCAAAATAGGCGCCTCGATTGCGAATAACCGTGCACAAAGCCATCATTCCATCTCTGATATCTCCACTGAACTCTGCGTCAATTGCTTGTTCAATCGAGTGATTGGAGACCTAAATGAAAGAGTTAATTCTTGAGGATTTCTTTAAAGATTCACTTTTTGGTATTCATCAAAAACAAGACGTAGTTGGGCATAGTTTTGTGCGGCGAGAATCGAATTGAAGCACGCCTCATCAGTTCCCAATCGACGTTCACCAGCTGCGTAAAGTTTTCGCGCGTCCTGAAATTGGGCTTTTTAGCGTTTAAAACTCTGATAGCAATCTATCCACCGTAATAGCACCGCATTCCCCTCGTAAAGTCGCGTAGTCGCAAAAGCTTTTTAGTATTTCATTTATTTCGAAGCGCCCGTACTTTCAAAAAATGCGTCTTTGGTATCAAAAGATAGCCCTGAATTTCAGCTATTTTCTTTGATACCTAAGCCCGCAATATAGCATAAATCAGTGTCGAGAAAAACGCTAGACTTCAAAGCTAGACTACGCGACTGTACGCCCATCATTATTACTAGTGGGGTACTATTACAGTCACTTTACGCTAGATCACTTCAACTCGGTGCCTCAGTAATCCAAATTGATTACCTGATTTGCTCGAAGAGGATCAGTGAAGTTATTCTCATCTCTTCCGCCAGCACACATAGAAACCAAAAGACGTTTAAACCACCCCGAAGTCTCGGAAATTAAATCCTGAATTTTAGGGTTTTTGGTTTATTTCATTTTTATTTTCCACTCACTTTTTCCAAATCGCTTCGATACATGGCTCGATAAACATTACGGATCTCGAAGATTTGAGCATTTGTACGAGAGGTCATAATCTCGATCAACACCGATTCTTTCGTTCCGATTCCCTGAGATTATGTTTTTATGTCATTTTTATAATTTAAGAGCTAAATGAATAAGTAATAAAATTTCAATTTTCAGGAGACTCACAGCCATAGCTCGATGTAACTGTTGAGCATCATATTGAGCCGGTGGGGTCATCAGAGCGATGATCAGATCCTGAACTTGGCTGTTATATATATATTTAACGTAGATACTCTAATAGAACGCCATCTCCAATAATGATTGGCGTACAGTCGCGTAGTCTAACTTTGAACGTTCCGTTCTCCTTGCTACTTTATGCTACAGTGTTTGCTTGGCTGTCAAATGATAGCCCTTGAAATCTAGTATTTTTGGTACCAAAAGTGTAGTTGAAAAAAGTCTAGGAACTAAGAAAAAAAATGAATTTCTAAAAAGACGCTAGACTACGCGACTGTACGGGCGAGTGGCGTTCTATTAAAGTATGCAAGTACAACGCTTTATCATATTTGACTTCATTTTAGACAAATCTACTCTGTCCTCACCTCGAAATCTCCTCGCAGTTCACTTTTGAGTTCTTGAATCAAATCTTTTCCGTACATCACCTAAGTTCTTGATGTTTATTGCTTTTAAAATAAGATTTTCTACCTTAAAAGCTCTTGCGATCTCTTGTCGTTGCATGTTGGTTCGAGCGCAGAGAACGGATATCACCTGAAGTTTTTATTTCAATTGTTTTGTGCACTTGGAGAAATTTCCACTACCTTCGCATTATCACACCCGAGTCCCTTCATCGCTTTCCTCAAAGTCTCCGCGTCCGCATTTGCATTAGAGCCAATTGGACGAATTGAGGGATTGCCGAACATTGCTGAAATCAATCTTGAAATTAGATTGTAAGAAATCTATTTCGATAAATATATTCCGAAAAGAAAGTGATATGTGAACAATGATCTGTTGATGAAAAAAAAAGTTGGTAAATTTCAGGGTCAAGTCTTATTTTTTGAAAAACCACACCCAATCCTACTAAATCAAAAACCACGAGCGCAATTTTTTTAAGGAAGAAATGCAAAAATTTCAAAAGCTAGAAAAAAGCGTCGTACATATTTCTATAAATTTAAAAAGTACTCAAAAATCATGTTTTGTTTATGAGAAAAGGCGAGAAACGTTTTAAGCTAAAGAGGAAAAATTGCGATAAGATTGAAAGAGAGTCTTAATCACAAAATATTCCCTTATTAGTTCTTATTTATTGTGTGAATAGATGAATGAATGAACGAATGTGAGATTGAATGAATGGAAAACTCTACTAATCTCCTCGTTCTGGCTCTCTATATTTGGAGGACATTTTCAGGGCAAAGAGGGGGGAGATATGATGAAAACAAAAAAGAAAAATGGAGAGGCATCAAGAGAGGAAAATACCCGACCTCCGATCGAGTGCTCTATGTTTATGTGTGTGTGTGTGTGGTTTAGAATGTTGGATGAAGAAGAGGGGATTGGGGATGGTGAGGGGTTGGGGAGGGGTTGAGGAGGGGATGGTGAGGCGTTGGGGAAGAGTAGCGGCCCCTTCTCTTTCCCCTCTCATCTCGCAAACGGTGACTCAGCGAAGTAAATATTGTGCTTTTCTTCCTTTCCCTCTTCACCCCAAATTTCGATGATGCGGTGAATCAGTAACGTTCATTTCAATTTTACCCATCCTATAGTCTTTCATGCTGTTAGCAGAAAATGCGTCATCGCTAGGAAATCTTAGAAAGATGAGAAATGATTTCGAAACGTTATGTGAAAAAAGAAATGAGATCTTTACCTCCTCCACCGGTTCCCATTGGATGCATTGGTGGCTGGTGAAAGCTTCCACTTGAATTAAATCCGGATCCCATTGATGGATATGTTGGAGCCGCTGGATAAGAGGGCATTGATTGGGATGGTTGACCGATATTCGGATTATATCCAGCTCCACCAGATGGATACCCACCAGATGAGGGCATTTCTTGATATCCACCAAGGCCAATTTGTGGATAACCACCTGAAATCAAAAAAACATAAAGAATTCGCTAAACTGAAACGGAAAGAAGATAGAGTTATATAGGATAGAATAGAATAAAAGAGAAGAGAATAGAGATAGAAATAGAAATAGAATTTTTATGAGCACACCTTGATTTTGTCCAGGGTAAGCAGAAGACTGAGGCGGATAGGGCTGATTGGGAAATCCACCAGATGGAGGATAAGGTGAGTTCTGACCGGCGTATGAACTGTTTTGTCCTCCTGGGTATGGAGGGTTTTGTGCGCCAGGATACGGGCCTCCTTGTCCAGGATAAGGACTACCTTGGCCTCCTGAATATCCACCTTGTGCTGGATAGGTTCCACTAGGTGGTTGCTGTGATGGATAGCCATAAGGATTTTGCTGTGGGTATCCCCCGCCACCGGAATAGCCGTCTTGTTGTGGGTATCCACCGCCAAAACCTAGAAATCATTTGCATTCGCATTTGAAATTTTTGATCTATTTACCGCTCATATTGTTCTGTTGGCTGTTCTGTTGGTTATAATTTGCTTGATCGTAAGAAGAGCCGCCGTATTGATTTTGTCCGCCTCCTCCACTCGCGGAATTCGGATTTTGCCGTTTGTTTAGCTGCTGGTCCTGAAATAAAATCTCCTGTAATCAATAAAATAAAAAGTACACTTATTTAAGAAGTATTGGTTTTAGAAAAAAAAGAATTAAAAAAAAAAAATATAGCTCTCCTCAAAATGCCCTAAACCATTTGTGGTGATGAGTCAGTTTTGTTTTCCCTTTTCCCAAACAGGCAGGGTCTAATCGCAGTCAACGCAAATATATATCATGGAAACGCTATCAATCCAAATAGAATTCACCATTTACTTTTTTTATTTATTTTATTTTATGTGCTAATGGGATGAAATTTAAAAGTGTTTAGCTTTCCAAGACTCACCAGAACCGTCTTCGCACCTTTCATCAGCAAATCGCCAAAGTTCGGCATTTTCTAAAACTTTTTGAAAATCGTCAACTAAAACACACCACAGCTGAAAAACGGTGAAAGAAATGATTTTTTTTCGAAATAAGGGTCAGTGTAAGCAATTTGTGGGGAGAGGCAAACAGAGAATACGGCGAAATTTTGAGCAAAAGAAGAGATATTGTTAGAAGAGAAAGAGGAAAGGACAACTAGATATCCACCGAGTAAACACTCGATGGAATTAAAGCGTATTGATCCAAAATTTTAAAATGTTTTAAAAATTTAAAAAAACAAGAAATTTTCCGAGCCTATGTCTAGTAGAATGAACCGAATTTATGTGATTCAACGAGTTTCCCAGAACCAGTAAACGATTTTGAAATGGATGACTAATAAGAGAGACCGGTAGATGGATCGAGGTGGTAGTGGAAAGAACAACCAAAGAGGAAAAGAAGGAAAGGAAAAGAGAAAGTTTTTCGCCGATCCAAATCACCAGCCACCCTTGCTTGCAAAAAAGTAAAGACATCCTCTCCACGAAACGAATCTATACACGCTGTAATGTGAATGCGTTTTTGTTTTTCTTAGCATTAAAAGACTTTGGTTAAAAGCATAAAACTTTATCAGAGGCACTTTAAAATGAATAATAGTCCTGAGGAATCATTCACAGCACTAAACAAAGATAAAGTGAATGGAAATCAAAAAGGCACAATTTGAAGATGAGCATAACTGGATGAGAACGCGATAAGACAAACGGAAATTGATTTCGCTATCAAAGACAGTTCAAAGAAAGCTTTGTAACGAGATCTTAAAATGATAGATAACACAAACAAGTTTAGGAACATGTACATTAAAGCATAACTTTTTTATCTTCTAAACGTCCTCTTGCTGAATTGTAGATTCTTCGAGAAATTTTGTTAAGTAGCCATCGCGACAGTAGTCTTCTAATCGATCAATTCCTATTTGACGATCATCGTCCTAAAACATTTAAATTTTAAATAGCTAGCAAAAGTTAAAATTAAACTAACTTGAAGAATTTGCCATTGCTGAAGAAGCAAATTGGAATATAAAACCTCGGGGAAGTATTGTTGCAACTCAACCGTAGTTGATGATGGAAACAAAAGTCGGAAATCTCCTAAAATTCATTTTTAAAATTACGATGTTAAATCCGTCTTATTTGGATATAAATTAATAGAAAGCTACCTTTTCTAGCATATTCGTCCTCAAATTCACACAAAATTCGGACATCTTCCGGAGTGAGACGTTTTGTGATCGAGTTCCCAATTCTGCCCTCTCTTTTGTATTTTCCAGCAAAGTGCCGCTCCTTGGCTAAAAAATAATAACACTTGTGAATATCGATAAACAAACTAACACATGGTTTTTTTGTCCTGCTGCCAATACCTTGGCTTTTCGCAAAAGCTAGAAAACGAGCCACCATCACTAAAGCAACTTTATAAGGAAATTAGAGCATGGAAAACATCTTTGTAAACAAAAACTTACTCTGCGGGAACCTGAATCCCGGCCATGTTCAACACGTCTTTTGCCAGTGGCGCTTTGACAGCAATGTCAAGAGGTGTTCCAGAATGAAGCGACGGAGAAATATTGACCTAAAGAAAACAACTGAAGTTCACTTATATAGTCTCAAACCTCCAATAGCCAAGGACGGGCATCCTCGTCAAGTAGGATGTCAATACCAAATAGCTCATGGCAGACAAACCTGAAAAGTATTTGAATTTTACTTTTGATCCAAAGCGACCAATACCCACCCACAATCAATGAACCGAGTCATATGCTCACGAACTGACTTCTCACAAGCGATAACGGCCTACATTTCAAACAATCAAACTATTATAAATTATGATAAAACTTTAATAATCGTGTCGTCAATCATGGCTTGAATTTGGGTAACATCCCATCCATTTGCATCCAGATAGGTCCACAGCTCCGAGAGTCGCCACTAAACTAGTCGGTAATTTAACTTTTGTCTTTTACAAGTACCTTTGGTACAGCTCCTTCGGCAACTCCATCAGCCTCGGCTAACTTGTTAATTGAATAGTTTGTAAGATGCATATAACGATTTGAGATCGTTGACAAACAAGAAGAATATCTTGAACAGTTGTTTTCATTTAAATAAAAAACCACTTACGGAACACTAGCAAAGCGCACGAGACCTTCCTCATATAAATATAAACGAAGTGGATCAAGACTCGTCACATAAGCGTAAAGACGCAAATCAAACTTTGCTCCATTGATAGTCATTGGGCGTGCCACATAACTATAAATGACAGAAGTTACAAATCCTAGAAAATCTTACTGTTGAGCCACTAAAGCAGTTTTCGTAGGAATTTCCTTGAGATTCCGCGTCACTGAAATGCCCGTACCGCGTGCAGAAGCTGGCTAAAATTAGATTGGGTTCAAGTGACAGATCAAGTGACCTACCGGCTTGACAATAACATGATGATTCGGATCCGATTCGAGATAATCTCGTAATTCTTTGGCATCTTTCGGTAAAACATACGTGTATGGCATAACTTTGAACTCATCTCCCCAGCTAAAAAATATCATATCAATGTAAAAAAAAATAACCCACGTTTTTTGCATAGCTTTCAAGTGCAACCAGAGTCGATCCTTACGCCCAATATGGAAGGCTCCGGGAAAATGATTTACCTAATTATTTTAAAATAACAGCAAGTTAAATGTTATTACCTTTTGAATTGGCTTCAAAGTTTTATATTGAACACTTTTCAAGTGACGACCCCAGTATCCAATCCATTGCAAACTTTCATCGACAACCTACACATTATACTGATATTGAAAGAAGAAACCATATTTTTTCCTACCTTGAAATGACTGGCAGCAAGACTATTTCGCATCACAATTGGGAGTAGCGAGTTATGGCACCATTGTAATCGGTTGCACAGCTTTCGATTTGGTCTGCTGACTAAAATTCATAATTGTTAAAGAAATCTTTTTTCAAAACCTCTTGTTCCTTTCGTATAAAAGCGCACAGTAGGTGGAATGTGAGTGAAAAACGACGAGCGAAGAAATGGCTGCGGGTCAGTTTGGCTCGAACTAGCAGTTTGGTTCTCATTATTCTAAAAGAAATATATATATTTTACATTTCAAAAGGTACCTTTTTTCCGTTGCCGCTAAGACATTGCGCAACCATTTCCGTCAGCCCACACATGCCAATTCCATCCCCTAAAAAAAAATACCATAATTATAAACTTAACTTTAAATTTAATTTTCACCTTTATTATTACTAACATTTCTTGTAATAAAATATAAAATGTCAAAGGTCTCGTTTTTTCAATAAAAAACTTTTCTGGCTTACTACATATATTATTTCAATTAATGGACATTTAACTTAGTTGTTTAGCTTATAAAAATACATTCACGTACATGGCATAACCGTTGCCGTAGAAGTCAATTAAGTTTGCCTTAAAATGAGGAAGCGAAGAGACGAAATGCAGAGGGCAACTCGACCCTCTTTCACCGAGCTAAGTGCTTGATTAATGAGGAAAGACCACAGGATACGATGAAAAAGTTCGCAATGCTCCCTCGTTAGCCAATGAGAAAAAAAAGAGAAAAAAAAACAAAAAAATATTGTAGAATATTGTACTGACTTCTTTATAGATGTTATTTGAATTAATACAGCTGCGGTTGGTTCAGCGGCTTTATTGCTGACTACGTTATCACCAAATCATATCTTACACTGAATATGAGGGAATCTAGAGAAAACAAGAAACAAAATATAAAATCGCAATTCTAATAACTAAAACTTTTAGAAACAGAAAATTACATATTTCTGCACAAATATTCCCAAAAGTGATAGAATATCCATGCGCAAAATTTTTTTATTACACAAAAACTTCGAGGGCCTATGGTATAAAAGAGGCCAGCAGCTAGCACGACAACTGACAAGCACGGAAATTGTCGGCAAACAAGAGAAAACAATGCATTAGAGAGCTATCATTTTCTCCTTGAGAAAAACGTCTGGGTTGGCTTTCAGTGAAAAAGCGAATAAAGATAGCTCTTTTCTTCCGTTTTTAAGGTTTTTACTTTTTTAGAAAGATGCGGAATACTTCTTAGAAAGTTTTTTAGAAAGATGGTCGAGGAAAACAAAACTAACTGGAACAGTTCCAGTGACTCATTAAGATTATTGGAAAATGAAACAAAATCATAGTTCATTAATTAAAATTTAAATTCCGCATAGTTAAAACAATATAGTGGAGTGGGGCGTGGGAGTTGAGGGCGGCACTTCAGATGAGACGAAAGAGAAGAGAAAAAAAAGGCAAAAAGAGAGATGGGGAAAGACAAATCCGCGCGATTGAAGGCCCTCGCCTGACTAGTGCGGCCCGAAAAGAGAAATGGCAAGGTTGCCCCGAGGACCGCTTTGAGTCGATAGGGAAAGCGAGACCACGAGACAGCGAAAATTAAAGAAACGACTACAATATTAATGTTCTTTTTTCGAATATGATAACCATACCTTGTTTAATGGAGCCTCCAGGCGAAGTCACATTTTCACTTTCTTCTGTTGGCGTCTCTTCACTACTGAAAAAGAAAATTAGTTGTTTACACAAGAAGTTTTTGCAAGTTTAATCTCCATAATCAGTAACTTAAGCTCAAAATATTAAAAGCTAATAAAGCAAAATTAACTTTAAAAATAGTAGATAAAATGCATGACCAAGTACCGTATTTATTTTAATAGAAGACCATCGTCTTCTATTTTTCAACCTCTCAAAATCGACCGACTGAAAACGTAGGTAAGGGTCCCCCAGATAAAAAATTTAAAAATTGTTAAAAACTATTTTAAACCATAGCCTTGGCTTAAAACATGCCAAAAACGTGTTTAAAAATGAAATCATTTCCTTACCTAGACCCCATAAATTTTTTTCCAAAAACTACGTTTCCAATTTTACTGCCGAAGCTAAAATACATCCATCTGGAGCCGTATCTATAACTTTAGCTAAAAAGAAGTCCTGAAAAGTCCCGATTTTGGAGAGTCAGGGAGGGTGATCTTTACTCGAGAC